GTGGGTGTGGGGTGTGGGTGTGGGTGTGGGTGTGGGTGTGGGTGTGGATGCGGGATGTGGGTGTGAGTGTGGGTGTGAGTGTGGGTGTGGGTGTGGGTGGGTGTGAGTATGAGTGTGGATGTGGGTGGGTGTGGATGTGGGTGTGGGTGTGGGTGTGGGTGTGGGTGTGGATGTGGGGTGTGGATGTGGGTGTGGGTGGGTGTGAGTATGGGTGTGGGTGTTTGTGTGGGTGTGGGTGTGGGTGTGGAGTGTGGCTGCGTGAGTGTGGGTGTCGATCAGCTCTTAACGCACTCACAATCAGACCCACACCCACACACCCACACACACCCACCCACCCACACACACCCACACCCACACCCCACCTACACCGACACACACCCACACCCACACCCACACCGACAAACATACCTCACACCCACACCCACCCACACCCCAAAAATAGCGCAGAAACAATTTGAAACACGCATAATTGGACTGAGTTCTTTGTGCTGATTTCAAATATGGTATTTTTAAAATCAAACCTAGTTCGTTCTACTCGAAAACCATCGAGTACTAGTCCAAAATGACTCTCAAGTATGCTAGGGGTAGCATAAGCAGCTTACTAGACATTGAATTTCAAGTTGAAAATGGTGTCATCAGAACGAGAAAGTTGAATTACGTATCTGGTAAAAAAATCTCCTGGTTCACCCGTATAAAATGTAAGTTTACAAAGCCGAAATAATCATTATTTGTAACAATAGGACCCAATCGAGAAGGTATTTCCTAATTATTGGCTGAAAAAGGTTTGAATACTTAGGACCTTCTTATAGATTCTGGTAGGGAAAAAACTTCTACGCGAATAAGGCAATTTTTCTTGGATTTCAATGGAACTTTGATGGACTTTCATGTCAAAAACTGGTTTTTAGAGATTCCAGAAAGTGTTTCAGATGTTTCTTATTATTCGACGAATATTGAAAATAAGTGTGATAATCAAAATCAGCATATTGAGTTCAATCGAACGAGAAGTGCCTCTACAAAAACGAAGACACAAAGTGTTTTTCTATTCCTGAGGGGACACAAAGCTGAATGCTGATTCTCAGAATAATAAAATTGTGTTCGGACTTTTCAGATGCATATACCGTAGTAAGACACATCTCCTTTATTAGAACATGCATATTTCCTCTAATTAGAGTAGGTTCATTTTTTTTGAAATCTTAAAACCTTAAAATCTGCTTTTTCCCCTTGCCGCAGGCTAACTGACGCATGTCATTCGATGGATGCATGTGGATGATGTGAGTCTTCCCACGCGTGTACCAGCGTTACGCTCGCCACAGCGCCATCAGGATGATTCCTTGTCGCGCGCGGGCGCGTGAATAGAAATTGAAAAAATATTTTTTCGATTCGAATACAATTTATTGAATTGAAAACAAATGAACACGATGATTTCTCACATCGACGACATAGAGATTACCTTTTCGATCGAAGGACAAACCACGCAAGCGATTGAACTGATTTGCTCCTGCTCCTTCACCATTTCCACCCACAATAACAGTGCCCTGTTTCGCTCCTTTAGGCCAACGCATCACTCGATTATTCCATGAATCTGCCACATAGACGTTACCCAATGTATCGATGAAGAGTCCGTTAGAATGCGACAATTGTGTCAGAGCATTTCCTTCACCTTGACCTCCAGCGACGACAATGCCTTCTTTTGCACCTTTATTCCATTTCGTTACACGGTGATTGTGAGTGTCTGACACGTAGACATTCTGTTGTTGATCGACAAAGGCGTAGGTCGGAGAGTTGAGTTGATTGAGAGCAGCACCTTTTCCATTTCCACCAGCGACAATAATTCCATTCTTGTCTCCTATTTTATATCGTCTTACTTCATGTTTTATGTAGTCAGAGACGTAGAGATATCTCTGATCATCCATGAACAATCCATGACAATCGATGTTGTCGATGAGGATTTCACCTTGAGTTGTGCCATTACGAGGAGACCATCGCACAACTCGTCGATTCTGCCAATCGCAGATAATGAGACTACCAGTCTCTTTGTCGACTAACACATCGATTGGACCATACAATTGATCCGATCGATTTCCTCTATCCTTTCCACCAGCTACAACTTGTCCCATCGTATCACCCATTTTCCATTGGACGATACGATCATTCCAGCAGTCAGCAATGATCATCGTTTGATCATCATCAACGAAGAGACCGTGAGGATAGTTAAGTTGATTGGTGGCATTGCCTTGTCCATTACCTCCAGCAACGATCTTTCCATTCTGCGGCCATGGAGCATCGACTGGGATATTGCGAATAACTACAATGAACAAAGAAAAGAAAATCAATCGTCATTGTGTCTCATCCACGATAGAGTACTTTCCGTAATTTAATCTTTAAGAAAAGGATTTTTAAGAACCTTTTTGTTTCGACAATTGTTTCTAATATCTGAAATGTTAAGCTTTCATGAAAGAAGAAACTGCTTGACACGAAATTCTAAGGAGATTTCCATGTTCTCTTGAAACTTATTTTCAGTCTGTAGCTCGTTGTCTCCTGATATTGAATGTTCAAAAAACAGTAAAAGCTCTCTCTGTCCATGACTCCTATTCACAAATGTATCAATGGCTGTACTACATACGAGCTCATATGTGTAAAGAAAACAAAAATTTTGTAATGATGAGAGGAAAGAAAAAAAGACAATGAATAGTTCTTTTTATCGAGCTTGAAGTGTCCTTTCGAATGATAAGTTTTTCTTGTTTCTCCCTTTCTCTTCTTACACTGATCAGTTTTCTGTGTTCCCTCAAAATTTCAGCAATGTTTTATTTCTATATGATTTGATAGAACATTAAATACTCTATCCAACGGTATAGTTTCCTTTTTACTTATTCTCTCGGCTGAAAGGTGCGTCATATGAAATAGAATGTGGTTTTATGAGTGTATGTGTGAAGGTAAAAAAAAATCGTCTAAAATATTAATGCTCAGTTATTTTCTACATCTACTCCTGGAAAGCTTGACGAAAGGTTTTCGGGGTCGAGGAATCGACTGGTAAAATTGATTTTTGAAAATTTTAAAATAGATTTTTTACTGAAAAATAGCTTTTTTTGGGTCAATAAAAATTGTGCTCTAAACTACGTAAACTACAAAAGAGCGGCTTCTTTAAGGAACCAGCTGGGATGCTAGTAGCATCACCTGGAATGCTGGTACCCGCACTTGGTGTGCTACAGCATTACCTGGGATGATAGTGACATCAACTGCGAAACTACTACTGTCCCAGTTAAGGCTACCAGCATCCTAGCTGACGCCCATAGGATCCCAGGTAATGTATCTATTGAACATTAGATATAACTCCCGACCTAGTATCTCAGTGAAATGCGATCTTACTGCTATAAACTATAAAACATGGACTGGATTTTATTTGTAAAAGGTGGATGCATAAGTGAGCTCAAAATTTGGAGTTTACAGATGACGCTCACTGTTTTTGACCTTTTTTGGACGAAAATAATGATTTCTGAACAATTTTAACCAAAGGTTTTCGACGCCGAGGATTCGATTTGTGGCATTGGCTTCTGAAAATTTTTGGATAGATATTTTTCACTGAAGAAAGGATTTTCAAAGAGAAAGATGATTTTTCATAGAGTTTGACTTAACATTCTTGAGAGTGGCTAACTCAAGTTCATCAATCATTTCTCAAGATCAGCCAATTCGAGGATCACAATGTGGAATATCAATTCACTCAATAATCCACCACTAAGTGTACCAAATAATCTTTCTTGCTTCAGAATAGAGCTAATCAGTGTTCGCAAAATCGATGCCTTATTTTCCGGAAAGCATTTTTCAACGTCATTCAAGTTCAAACCGTTGTTTTTTATGGTTTTTGTTTGAGATTATCGAGGAAACCGACACAATGATTAGTTATATTAATTGACAAGCTATGCTTTGTAAACATATGTTGTTATTGTTCCCGCGATTGTAGGAAGGCTGATGGGGAAAAGAGTGAAAAGAGTTTGTCTTTCTGTTTGTACCAGGGTCAAAAAAACATCAAAGTTTAATTTGTCTTCATCATGGTTGACGAAAGTTGGTTTCTCACAATTTTGAGCAGCAGGGTCACGTATCTAGGAAATTGGAGATGCTGGAGAAGTGATCACAGACTTGGAAGAAGTGGTCAGAGAAGCGAGAGACGCGACGAGAGATGCGGGAGAAGTGACCAGAGATACCAAAGAAGTGATAAGGAATGTTGGAAAAATGGTCAGAGATGCGGTGCGCGTGTGAGTGTGGGAATTGGTGTTGGTGTGGATATAGCCGTGGGTGTGGGTTGGGATGCGGGTGTGGGTATAGGTGTGGGTGTGGGTGCGGCTGTAGATGTAGGTGTGGGTGCGGATGTGTGTATGCATGTGTGAGGTTAGTTTCGTGCTGGGTGTGAGTGGCATTGTCCGAGTGAGTGCACAGTTTATTTATTTCGTTTCCTTAGAAGAAGATAAAGATCCAAAAGAGCACGTACATACCCACAGAGAATTGTTTGTTTCACGTCAGTGGTCACTTCTCCCGCATCACTGATCAGTTATCCCACATCTTCCATCACTTCTCCAACATCTCTGACCACTTCTCTCACATCTCCAGTAATGTCACTTCTCCCTCATCTCCCTGTACCCTCTCCAGCTTCTCCGATTTCCTGGATATGTGACACGTCTCTTTCGACATGTAGCTCTTGTAAGTAGAATCCGGAAATACAAATAGTTCTAGACAAAAGTAAACATTTGAGAGGAAGAGCAAACATCATCGAACTTCAATGTACCAGGATTAGAGCTAGGGTTTTATTCAATCTTGACAATCGACTGCAAGATGTTTGACTAAGTAAATCTTAGAAATTCAGAATAGAAAACAGGAAGGTCCGAACCTTTTACAAAATAGTCATTACTGACAATACTATAGACAGATTTCCGTCTGTACATGTGTTGCACAATAATTGTCAAAGCAGAGATCAGAAAAGGATAACAGATGATAATAAGATTGAATGCAGTCGAGAGTTAAGCGAGTTCTGCCGATGAGCGTTACTTGTTCAAATTTGACGAAAAAATAATGAACCGTCAATTATCCAATTAGGGCAGCAGATGATTCGTTGAATGCTAGGTTACGGATACAAGTTTGAGATCCAATAAGAGATTACAAGTCATTATTAGAACTTGATTTTTTTTAGCTTAAATTATGAGAGATGTTCTTTGATTTTTCCACAACGAATGCTTCCTTTTCTTTTTTACATTCAACAGCACTCCTCATTTCTGCATTTTTTCATAATAATAATTAGCTAGAGATCGTCTTGTATAGCAATGAATTCTTCCATATGCAAGTAGATTCTATGAATATATCTCTCATTGGTTTACATTGGACGTCGGTATTGAATTGCTTCTCACTCCAAACAGTCACATGTTTCTTCTTCAATCGAATGTACCTATGCTGCCTCTATGCATATACATGGTGAAGGTCTTACACATCGCACATGTATCTAGAAAATAATACTCATAACATCAGTAAATAATCGGATATTATCATTGACGCATTCTTTGTATTTGATTACTGTCAACCATGTATTTTCTTTATTGGATGCATCCCTTTAAAATGTTAGTCAGTACATGATAACTGTAAACCCCTCCCCGCATTAGAACACCCCGAGTCTTATATTATGTCTCGGTGTGGGAATTTCTCAGGGGGGTCTTCTATTATGTCCTAGATTTTTTAGCAATTATTAACTAGATGTGGTTTTCCAAAAAGTCAGACCGATTTTTGGGATTCTCAAAGGGATTTTCACGGTTATAAGATTTGAGGGCAAGGTTGGCAGATCTCCCAATTTGGCAGGAAAAATTCCAATTTTTGAAACTTTTTCCGATGACTTGACTACGTTCCGATTTTTTCCGACTTTAGTACATTTTTCCGATCACCTTCCAATTTTCTAATTTTTCTCCGGTTTTTGGATTTTTTTCTAAATTCAAGTTCTTAGAATATTCTAGAATCATTTAACGATGACTCGCTACTGCATATATATTGTGATCTATTGCAATGAAATTATTCGGTGCTGCAGCAGCGTCATGAACTCAACAAAGCACACTTCAGTGCTCTGCAAACTTATCCTCAAAAACAATTAGGATATTTTACAGACAACAAAGATTTAGTTTTCTGTCGCGATGAACTAATTTTGTCTATTCGATTACTACACCAATAATTAATAATATTTTCCTTTTTCAGTTTTTTTGTTTCATTGCAAACATAATAAAACTAATCGGATCGTGTAGGGTACTCAATTGACTGCTGCCGAATATAAAATCAGAATGAGTTCTGTTTATTCCTGTGGGCATTTTTTTGAATATCTGTTACCTCAACCTGGTGTTTTGAAGAACATTTGAGCTAATAAGGAAGTATGAACAAAAATGTACGTTATAAAGAATGAATCTTGGTTTCTTTTGCACAAGTTTTGTGAAATGTATGTGTCTATGAATTTTCAATGTTGATTATTTTCTTCCGTCAAGTTGCTTATAAGATTTTTCAAAAAAAGACAATGTGACCCTGTTTAAATGACTTATGCGGATTTCTTAATAATCAGTAAATTGTGTGTAAATTTATATTTTCTTAGATTCTTTATGAAATATTTTTTAAGATATTGCTTGGAAAAATTAATAGAAGCAAGATAAAGGATATTGCTTATTAGAAAAAAAACAGACTAGCTACTTGAGAATTAAAAAAGTACTTTTCGATTTTTTTCCGATCTTGAGAATAAGAATTCCGGCATTTTTCCGATTTTTTAATTTTCAATCTGGCAATCATGATAGAGGGACACATTTGGACTCATTTTCTAAAGATTCCCAGCAGAAAAACGTAAAAGCTGTGCACTTTTAGACAGAAATTCCCTAATTAAAGTTCTTAATTAGCAAAAAATTGATTAAAGAAGGGTCTTCTAATACGCCCAATGAACTTTTTGTCCAGGGGGGTCTTCTAATGCGAGGAGGGGTTTACATTATCTTATTAGATGATAATGCCTACTGTCGGTGACAGTACGAGTACTCAAAACAAACATGATGAGCAAATATGAGAATATAAGATTGAGGATGAGAGCGAGCAGGATTTCTACTTTCATACAATACGAAGGAATCTGCACAAACGTTTTTTCGTAAGTTTTCCCAAATCAAAGATCTTTTCACGGATTTCATGTAAATTACTGCTCAACAGTTTTAGATATATTTTTGAAACCGATTTTAACTCACTTAGTAACCTATGTGAGACGGTGAGTGTGTGTATTGATAAAAGAAAGAACTGTAGACTCACACCTCACTC